TGGCGCTGGTGGTGATGGGGCTCTGCAGATGCTGGGAGGGGCGCCAGCCGCACAGTCCCAGGGGAAGGCCCTACATGGAGCTGGGGACCCCGGGGGGCGGCCGCTGGGAGTCCCAGGCCTGGGAAAGATGACTGCCTCCCCACTCATCACCGAACCCTAAGAACAACTAGCGAGGTAAGAGGCCAGGTCCAAAGATGCTGTGGTCTTCTCAGGTCAGCGCTGACACTTGGCAGCACCCCGGAGCAGATTCCTGCAGCCTCCTCCACTCGCCCCACTTCTCTGACAAGGTGCACAGCCTGCCTGTGCGGTGGCCTGGTGCTGAGCAAGGAACACGGGTGCAGTCCTACTGGAGGGGTTTGCTAGGATTCCGATGATGGGCCGGCTGGGTGGCAGACAGGGACCTGGAGCGTTAGGCTCCTTTCAGAGGCCCCAGGCCTGCAGTGGCAGGGCTCTCAGAGGGAATCCTTGAGCTCTGGGCTGTGGCGAAGGACCTGCCCTGGGGTGGGGGTGGCATCCTTGGGCCCTGACCTTGGATACACAGGGGGACTCTGTGTACTGTCCCTTCTCATTTATCTTCATCTTCAGCGTGTGTGGCCCTTCACTGAAGGCAGCTGTCCCCTCCCCTGCCCCCAGAACACGGCTGCCCCCATCTCGAAAACCACAGATACGCAATGAAAGGTGATCCTCTGTTTCCACGCCTTATGGAGCAGGCCCAGAGCCTCCCATGTGGCAAAGTATGAATTCCTACTATTTTCTTCTTCACTGGAGAAAGTCAAGCTCAGTCCAAAGAAGGAAAGGAGATTGTCTCCAAACCCGGACGTACTATTTTCGTCCAGTGGGGCTCTTCCCATGTAGCTGGGGGACCACTGTGGCACATCTTACCCTGCCTTCCGCCCCAGCCCCTTCCGGGGCTGCAGGGAGCTGGTTTCCAGCACAGCCACACCCAACTAACACTCCGGCTGGCCCAGTACTCTGCCAGGTCCTAGGGGCTGTTGGTGGGCCTGCCTCGATTTGTCACCCTCCCTATGGCTCTGAGGAAGGAGCCAAACTGAGTGGAGGGGATCCCTTGGATCCTATCAGAAAATGTGCTTGACAGAGGACACACCGCTGTGTTCATCCCCATAGCACCACTCCGTTTCCTCACAACTTGTTTCCCATCCTAGACCACGGGGAGCATTTTGTGGAAAGACAGCGATAAATATCTCGGGCTCTGTGGGCCATGTGGTCTCTGATGCAGCTCCTGCGGCCCCAGGCTCCCCAGGCAGCAGGAATTAGCAAGAATTAGCAGGGGGTGTCCGAGAGAACTTTACCTATGGACACAGAAATCTGAACTTCGTATAATTTTTACCTGGCATGAAATACTATTCTTTAGGGTTTTTTGGTTTTGACCATTAAAGTAAAAAAGATGTAAAATCCAGTCTCAGCTCTTGGGCTATACAAAACTAGGTCAAGGGCTGGATTATTCTTGGGGGCCTTTATTTGCCAAGCCCTGTCCGAGGTCGTACAGCCAGCAGGGTGCCTGGGGGAAGCCAGGGCTCAGCCCGTGTTTGGCCATTTGTTTCTAAGAAGCCATAAGGAAGTCCACATCCCAGGGCCTCTCAACTCCTTTGAGCAAAGTGTCCTTTCAGAAGGAAGGACGGGTCAATGGAGAGCTCGGGACTCTGGGAGAGCCAGCCACGCACCAGCTCTGCAGCCGGCTCACCGCAGGGGCTTTGCCACTTTCTTGCCAAATATTGCAACCAACTGGCATTCTTTGCAGGTCCGGCCAATGTTTGCCACGTGGGTGCGAGGCTGCCAGTGAAGGGGATCCCCCAGGACAGGATGGCACTGCCTTGGTGCCCAGCACCGCGGCCTCATCCTGCCAGGGGCTGTCCCACAGCCCGGGTGCCCGCGGCCACCAAGGTCCACGGGGCTGGCACCCCACGAGACTTGGTCTCTCACATTTCTGCACGACGTTGCAGAAGAAAATGAGAACCCCAGGTGCCCGCCCGGGTGAGACCAGAGAGCTCCACCACAGAACAGACACAGCCACAAGTCTGTAACTTCTTTAATTATTCAAACAATAGAGCACAAAGGTAAGAGTTTCAAGTACATTGTGATACACGCTTTTGACAGGAATAGATAGGCATTTAGTCACAAGGGAGGCTGGCAGCAAGGCGGCGCGGACACTTCGCACAAACTCTTCACACCGTCAACCCTGCAGAGGGAGCGGACGCCTCACCAGGTGGCTCCGCGCTGCACCACCCTGGTACCCTGTGCTGAGGGCTCCCCTTTGTTGGCCATGAGAGAGGATTCTGAACGTGAGGGCGGGCGGGGGGCTGTAGCCTAGGATGGGGACAGTGGGGGCAGGGGGAGGGTGCCGCCACCGCGCTTGGCTGGGGCCGCACTGGAGGTGGCCAGTGCGGGGTGGGGGGGCACCTAGGGGCCTGGCCAGCGCTCAGGTTCTCTCTTTGGCTAGTCAGGCTGAGGGCTGATTCATCTGTGAATCAACGTGGCCAGGGCCATTGGCGTGCCAGGCTTCCCGTTTACTTTTGCTGGCTTACACTCAAGATGGAACAGAACAGAAACTACCAAATTCCACCAGGGATTGTAAACCTTGCACCTGCTGACTACCTGGAAGACCAAAGAAAATTCTTTTACAGAGAAAAACCAAGGAGTACTCCTGCCCAGAGGGCCTGGAAGCATGCAGAGGGCAAGCTCCAGGCTACGCGGCTGTCCCTGGCACCAGCCGTGCAGGCCCCCGGCCTCCTGGAAGAGGTACACCCTGCCAGGCCCTCAGCACGGCAGCTCCTCAGGGACCAGTGCTTCTGGCTGCAGGTGCCACCGCAGGCATAGCCTGAGGGGCAGCACCTCCAGACCCTGCCCGGGCAGTCCTGGGACCTGCCTGAAGCTGTCAGGCTCAGGTCTACCCCTCAAACCCAAACCAGCCTCCAGACAAGCTGAAGTTGCTAAGAGGCCCTATGCTCACACAGCCTGTCCTTCCAAAACCCAGCCAGCTTAGACACTTGGCCTGAAGCACAAGTCGGGACAGCAGCCTTTGATAAAGCCAAAACACTGAGAGTGACAGCCAACGGCTGTGCCCCTCTCGGCTGAGTCTAGAACACACCCTCGAGCATGGAGGACCTCTTCCCCCAGACCCAGCTGACATAGGGCACCAGCCACAGGGTGCCCACTAAAGGAGGACCATGCCCTAGGAACAGAAGTCTACACCTAACAACCACTCCAGACAGACAGCTTGGACTTGACAACACCAACATGACCCGAGGACCCCAGCAGCCCTGAGACTAGCCACTGTGACTGGGGAAGTGGGGAGGTTGGGGCCACCCCGAGAGCAGGTGGAAAATGTGCACTCTTCGGGGAGTTTGCCATGAGGGTCCTGGGGGGGGGTGTCAGAGATCAACACTTAGCCCTCTCCTTGGGGACCCTTCTGGAAAGGGTACCCCAGGACTTCACAAAGCAGCGAGGGCCCTCCTCCCTTCGCTGCCAGAGGACCAGATACTCCAATGTGGGACAACCAAGTGGAGGGGACGGGGTCTGTCGACGGCTACACGAAGCATGGGGAGAGAGTCGTGGGTGGCTGCCCGGAGGCCTCTCCTCCTCCGGGCCTGCGCCAGGCTGCGCTGGGTGAGGGCTGGGGGGTGGGAGCGGGGCGGTGCCCGCACACGGCACCCCCAGTCTTTGGAGTGCACAAAGTCTCTCACACAACAAATACAAACAGAGCTGAGGTTTCTCCAGTGATGAAAATAAACAAGTTGGTTTGGTTACCTACTTTGGCTTCCTACTTAAGCTGATCTGAATTCACAGTATAAGCAACACATCTAAATATAATGCTGGGCCCTCCTGTCGGCACTGGGTTTCCCAAACAAAGAAGCCAAAACAGAAGAGAAAAAGGGGCTGCGACAGGAATTCTTAGTTATTATATACTAACCAGTCTGTGCGTGGCACATTTTATTTCTATAAAACTATTACAAAATATTCAAAAATACATTTTAGTAAATTTACAGCAGTTATTTCTCAATTTATTAATGCAAAAACATCCTTTGTTTTTCTCTGTACAAACTACACGCTCCATCCTTGTGGGCTCATCACTATGTGCGCTTTTAAAAAATATTATTTTCTAATAAATTCTTTGAAGTTAAAAATAACAGAGTTCTTCCAGTTTGTCCAAAAAAAAGTGTGTGTGTGTGTGTGTGTGTGTGTGTGTGTAACAGTCTTGACTTCTAAGAATGTGGCCAAAATGGTGATCACAGAGCAAATATTAACCCATGAAGACATACGGGAGGTGGCTGTTACACTGGAAACTAGTTAAATTAAAATAATATATTTTCATATTTTACACTATTTCAAAAATGAAATGTAATTCAGTTAAGTATTGATCTCTCAAAAAATCTAATTTACAATTCTGTGTATAAAAATATAATTTGCGGACCCCCACGAAGCACGTTTTAGTTCACACTTGCTGAAAAGCAGGCGCGTGGCAAACGAAGAATGCAGAGTGCAGAGTTTTGCTTTCTGAAAGTCAGGGCGAGGGACATGTAGAAAAATAGACTCTGAGCAGGTCGCTTGGCCTCACAAAATAATCTTTCCCCCCTGTGAGTACAGTTCACATGATAATAATAAATTATCCAAGAAACAAACTATTTAAGGCTCTTGAAGGTCCGGTTCATATTATTTAAAACATCTATTCATACCAAACAAATAAATAGCCAGGAGAGGTGAAAAAAAAAAAAAAACCAAAATAAAACAACAACCAAAAAATCCAAAAACAAAAAAAATATATATATATATATAAACTAAACACAACGACAAAACTTCCCGGGATCTCTGTTTCCTTATAGTCTACTTTGGACTGTCCTACTTTATTATTATTATTAATTATTATTATAATTAAAGTCTCATTCCGTGCGCTTTTCCGCGTGTCTTTTGCTGTTCCTTGCTCTGGCTCCCCCCGCCCCCGCGCCCGCGCCCGCCCCCGCCCCCGCCCCGCGCCCTCCCCGGCTGGCTCCGGCCTTCAGCTGGACGTGACCGCCATGCCCAGCGGGTGCAGGGCCTCGCTGTCCAACAGCCAGGTGCCTATTTGGTAGAGCAGCTGCGAGTACCAGTGGATGCCCGCGGCCCCGGGCGCGTCGGCCGCACCTGGCGCCTCCAGCGCACCTGGCGCGGCCGGGGCCAGGTGGCCGCCGCCCCCGCCGTCGCCCTCCCCGCCGCGGTCCGTGCGCGCGGGCGCCAGCGCGGCCAGGAGCGCGTGCGCCAGGCGGAAGGGCGCGAAGGCGCGGTGCGCCCAGCCGTGCTCCTCGATGACCGCGTAGCACGACGCCAGCACCCGGTTGATGAGGATGGTGCCCTGCGCCGTGAGCGGCGCGTAGGCGCCCGTGGCCTCCTCGCGCAGCGTCACGCTGTGCACCGCGGCCGGCAGGAGCCGGCGACCCCCGCCGCGCTCGGCCACCACGTACACGCGCTGGCCCGGGCGCACGCGGCTGGCGAAGAGCGCCCGGCGCCCCGGCGCGCCCCCCGGCGGCGGCCCGGCTCCCGACGGCGCCTCCGGCTCCCCGGCCGCCGAGTCGTTGAGCGGCGCCACGAAGAGCAGGTGCGCGGCGGTGAGCAGCAGGCGCTCGCGCGGCTCCCGCGTCTCGATCACGTAGAAGACCTTCCTGGCGCCGTCGTCGCGGTCCAGGAAGGTGAGGAAGTCGCTGTAGAGCAGCCGGCCCTGGTCGTCGGCCGCCAGCACGCGGTCCCCGGGACGCAGATCTTTGACGAGCTTGGTGCCGCCCTGCTCCAGGTGCACCGTGGCCGAGCCTGGGAAGCAGCCGCCGGACTTGGCCGCCACGGAATTCTCTGCGGGGGGAGGGGGAGGGGAGAGAAGAGGGCACAGGGTGGTGAGCGCCTGCGCGGACGCACGGGGGGGCAGGGGGGCGCACGCCTGCCTTCCCGCCCCCAGACCCGGGACCCGCGCAGGTCGGGGGGAGAGTCCAGGCCGTTGGGGCGCAGACCTCTCTCCACCCAGTCCCACCGTCTCAGTGACGAACTTCAGATGCAGATACAGCCCTTAACGACTCTCCTGGGTTTGGGCTGGCCGTGACAAGGGCTGGCTGGGTGTCCGGCGGGGGCCGGTTCCGCACCTTCCCCCCCCCCCCCCCGCCCTCCTCCGGCCCCATCCCCCCCGGCTCAGCACACACCCAACCTCGCCCTGAATTCGCAGGGTATTTGCTCTGCACTTAGATTCCTCAGGAAGCCTCCTTGAGCAACCCGGGGCGCCGGGGTGCACCTCCTTCCTTCCCGCCCCCGGCTTGGGGTGCGCCGCCCCCTCGTGCGCCTCTCACCCGGCCTGCGCGCCCAGGACCCCTCGCCTGCCTGTCCCCGAGAGCCCAGCGCAGCCGGGGGCGGCGGTGCCGGATGGCTGCAGGGGAGTGGGGGGCGGGAGTGCAAAGGAGCTGTAGTAGTTGTAGCAACTGGACAAACATTCCAGGGAACCGGCCGAGGTGTGAAAATCCGGGGCCTGTGTGGATTTTCTAATTAAAATCCAATAAAGGGCCCAGCATTGTCATTGTGATCTCCGCAATAAATGGGAGACACTCTTGGAAGAGGGGCACTTCCATCCTCCCTCCCCCTTCTCGGCCGCCCCCTCCCTATTTGCTCAGGTGCACCCCCCTGCCCAGCTCCTCCCCCCCCCCCCCCCCCCCGCGATTCACACGCGGGCTCTCCAGAAGCCCGGGCCTCACAAGCACTATTTGCACAGCCAGGCCTCTTCCAAGCACTCAAGATGTGTATTTGAATTTTAAATGGCGGGGCCTGCTCCAGGCGCTGGAAGCTGCTGCGTTCTCAAGGCCCCTTGACTACCCGCTTTCCCGAGCCCTCTGTCGCTCTCTGAGGCTCACTGTCCCGAGGACAATGATCGGAGCCGGGGTGGCGAGCAGGGGGCCGCGGAGGAGGGGCGGGGACAGCCCGGTCTTCTTTGCATTCCAATCTCCGGGATCATGCTTTTCGCAAATAGAGATCGCGAGAAAGAATCTTCCTGCTGGAATTACAGAGGGTTTTTAATCTTCTCATCGGTTTCTGCGGCATGAAGTGCGGGCTTGGCCGTTGGAGGCCCGCCGTCGCCCCCCGGAATGCGGCCCGGGGCGCAGGCGAGCCCTAGTCGTCCTGTCGCACGACCCTGCTTGACACGCCGCGCCCCGCGCCCCGGCCGGTGTGCGCCGAATGCCAATGAGCGGCTCCCGGCGCCCCGGGGGCCTGCCCTCCCCGCGCCCAAGCCTGCGGCGGGATTACCGCTGCTCACTTGCGAGGAGACCTCTAGGGACCCCCGCCAGGGGGACCCCGCGGACAGGCCTGGCCCCAGAGGGGGCCGGCGCGCCGCCAGCCCGCGCACCCACGAGGTCCCGGGACGAACGCGTCCCGGGCCTCCCGCCCTCGCCGAGCCCCGCCCGGTGGGGGCGCCGCCTGCCAGCCCCCCTCTCCGGTCGCCCCTCCCACACCTTCTCTCCCTGTTGTGGTAAGAGGCCACTATTTTCCTTCCCTACCGAGTGTGTCTTGACACCTTGGAAGTGTTTTTCTACTAACACAAGCCATGAAAATACAGTTTGGGAGACAAATAGGCAAAACTGGGTGGGGGGGGTTGCTGGGAAGACAGCGCCTCCGAAATTCACTGTGACCTGTGCTGCTAAAGGCACCGACTTCTGCTGAGAGATGGAGAGATCCACACAACCAGCCTCCAGGCTGGGATATCTGCATGGGCGCAGGGCCTCCCTGGCATGGCTGTTCCTCGCCAGCGACAGCGAGTGGCGTTGTAGGCCCAGGGAAGCCACCCGCTCGCCAGAGGCCGCGCTGCTGCAGCTGCAGACTCTGGGCCCGGGCTCAGGGCAGCCCAGCTGGCTCCTAATAAGCACGGATGCTTCTGGGCTTGCGGCCTCAGGATGTTGGAAGCGGTGACCACTGGGTTTATGACCTCCCACCAGGCCTCTCTCCAGAGGTTCAGCCAGTGAGTTAAGTTAGTTCAGTGTCCGCAGACGCCCACTGGGGATGGTGGGGGAGAGGACGAGGGGCCTACACCCCGGGCAGAGCCTCCAATGCGGGGGTCGAGTGGGGGCTGGTTGGCTCTTCAGCCTTCAACGAGACAGGAATCTAGGCCAGACCCGGCTAGCCTAGCCGTGCAGGGCTGCAATCTCTGATCAGGAAAGCCCCCTCCCCCATCTTCCCTGTCTCCGCCACCTGCAGTGGGGGCTCCGGAAACAGGGTGGGGGAAGGCTCAGGAAGCCAGATGCCCTCTGCATCTGGGCTTGGAGAACCTCTGGCCTCGGTGGTCTCAAGGGTAGGAGCCACTTTTGGCTGGCGGGACCCACCTTGACAGGCTCTGTTGGCACACCAGGGACCGACTTACCAGCCAAGCCCCTCCCTCCCTGCCCCTCCACCAGCACGTTCATCCTTTCCCCTCGCATCCGCCGTGGGGCGCAACAGTGACACGTCGCGGGCAGATCAGGGGCTGCTGGTGGGCCGGGGGGGGGGGCTTCGTGGGCACAGGGTGGGGGCTGTGGAGTAGGGCAGGCCCGCCGCCTCACCTGCTTTCACAGAGCAGTGGATGTGCGCCTTGGACTCGTAGTACACCCAGTCGAAGCCAGCCTCCACGGCCAGGCGGGCCAACATGCCGTACTTGCTTCGGTCGCGGTCTGACGTGGTGATGTCCACCGCGCGGCCCTCATAGTGCAGCGACTCCTCTGAGTGGTGACCGTCCTCGTCCCAGCCCTCCGTCACCCGCAGCTTCACGCCAGGCCACTGGTTCATCACCGAGATGGCCAAGGCGTTCAGCTTGTCCTTGCACCTCTGCGGAGAGAAGGGGCCCCGCGGGCATTAGTACCGGGTCTGCCCCCCATCCCTGCCCTGCAGGCTGCCCTGCTGGGTCCCTGAGGGTTAGGGCTCTGTGGGGAGTCGGGAGGAGGCCTGGATGGGGCCGGCAGGCTCCCGCAAGCACTGAGGTGGGGGGGAGGGCGTCCGCTGGAGGAGCCAGTCCTCTTGCAGGTAAACTGAGGGCCTGTCTGTGAAGTCTGACTGGCAGAGCCCCCACCACGGCCTGAGAAGGAGGGGACTCTTCTTGAGACAAGGAAAGTGTGTCTCCCACGGTCACGGCAGGGCCTGCCAGGCCCCCTCCCCCACGCCGCCCTCCACTCCCGATCCCTTCCGGTGGCCCCGTTTCTGCACACCTGTGCGAGGCTCCACCTTCGTGCCCGGCCTAACTCCCTCCCCGGGAGGCCAGAGCCAGGCCCAGGGCGCAACTTGGCAGAAATAAAGAACGTGCGCGGTATGCTTCTTAAAGAGCGAAAGCCTTGGGTTATCTCTGGACCCTCCCTCCTACCCTGTGCCTATCTGAGGCGTGGGTGCCGCCAAAGGGAGAGAGGGGGGTGGGAAGCCGATAGCCCCGCGGCGGGGCGGGAGGGGCCCGAAGTGAAAGGCAAGCAGGTGAGTAATAATTTTCAATGCGGGCCAGGCCTAACGACAAACATTCTTTATCTGGACAGCCACATTCCTTTTCCCCGTAGACCTCTTTTCTCCGGCTTTTCTGTGGTCTGATTGTGTCTCTTGTTTTCCTTAACCTGTTCCCTCCCCCCCCCCTTGTTTTCTTGGCCCGGAGCAGAATGGCGTCCGGCTAGTTTGAAGAGCAAACTTAAGAGGTGGAGGGAGGGGGCGGGGCAGGAGGGGTGGGGGAGGGGGAGCCCGAAAGGCCCGAGGCCTCGGAGCCCTTGGGGAGTGCCCCTCCCTCCACGAGGAAGCTGCTCTGGCCGTGGATGTGCAGAAACACGGAGTGCACAGGACACGAACCGGGGCGAAGTGAAACTCGGGGTCAGGGGAGTCCCCGCCTGAGTCTCGGGTCACATTCAGATAAGGATGCTAGAAAAAACAGAGCCATGGCAAGTGTGTGCGCCCGTGTGGGTACCCGCTCAGGGCCCGGGCGCTTACAGGGACGGGGACGCGGGATTCACAGGAGGGGGAGTGGTGGCGGGATCCCCCAGGGGCATCCCCAAGAGACGCAGACCTGGGGGACGCGGGGCAATTTCAAGTTGACCTCCCGCAGAGGGTAGGGCTGGTCTCCTTCCCGCAGCGCATGCTCGGCTTTGGAACCCGGTAGGCGGGGAGGGAGGAAGACCCGGTCGGGGATCCTAATAACAGCGTGGGGGCTGCTTTCCTGCTGAGCGAGGGGAGCCGCCGCGGTCCCGCTGTCCGCGCTCCACGGGGATGAGGAGATTGCGCAACAGGAAACGTCCTGCGTGTCGGACAGCAATAAAACCAGCAGTACGGTAGTCGAGTTAAACATCCAACAAATGGGGGGGGGGCTGGTAACAGGTCAGCGCTGGCAGGTTTCTGGGCCTGCCAGCAGTTTTCTTAAAAAAAAAAAAAAAAAAAGTCGGAGGGGCAGAGTTTGAGTGAGGTCATCTTGAGGATTGAACGCGTTTTACATGAAAATCAATCAGTAAACCGGGGTCAGTCCGGAGCCGGGCGGGGAGGCCGGCTGCGCAGGCGCACACCACCGACACGCACACGCACACCTCCCGCATCCGAGCCCCGCGCCGCCCGGCTCGCTCCTCTCGGGGCTCAGAGGGGGCCCGCACGGCTCCCCGCGGGACGGCGGGTGAGGGCAGGGAGCGCGGGGAGGCCGCGTGCCCGCCGCAGGCGCCCTGAGCTGCGCCCCTGGGGCATGGGGTGGAGGACCCCCGGCGAGGAGCCCCAGGCCGCGCCAGGCCCGAGCGGCGCCCTGCTTCCCGCGCGCCCCCGCCCCCCGCGCCCCCCGCGCCCCCGGCCCTCGCCTGCGGGACGTGGTGCCCCCGCCGGCCGGACAGGCGCAGGCGAAGCTGGGACGCCCAGGCCGGTTAGCCGTTCACTGGGTCGTGTGCTGCGAATCGAGCCGGGCTCTGTGCAGCCACCGGAAAGCCCAGCGGGGCCGCGGGGCCGGCTTTGTGTCGGCGGAGGCCGAGTCCGTCCTCGCGCCCGAGCCCCGCCACCCCGGGGCCGCGCGGCCGCCCCGAGCCCACCAGCCCGGGCGGGACTGTCACCGCCACAGGGCGCCTGGCCGTCCCGGCGCGGGGGAGGGGTGTCCCGACTTCAAAAGAGACACCCCCCCCTCCCCACACACCTGTCTCCTCCCCTCCACCCCCTCCGAGGAAACAGACCCGTCCTATCCAAACAGGAGCGCCCTCCTGGAACCCACACCTGAGCGCGGGCCCGGGCCGCCACGCACACGGGGATCTACTCGGCGTGGCGTCCCGGGCTGTCCCCGCTGCGGCCCCAGGCCCTGCCCCGGCGGCCGCCTCCTGCCCCCCAGCCCCCGGCCGCCGCGCCCGCGCCTGGCACCCGCGCCTGCGGGCCGAGCGTGTCTGTCTGCGCTTCCCCCTCTCCGAGTTAATATTAACCAGGAGCTCATGCGTTCCAGAACTGCTCCGAAAGTTCCACCGGGGACGGTCTTGCCATGGTTGAGGGACTCGGGCGGCGGCCACAGTGCAGAGACCGGGACGCGGAGCGACGGCTGGCCCGGGGCGCAGAGACACGCGCACCTGGGACAGGATCTCCGTGGTGGCTTTGAGTGCGCGGCCAGCGGGCCAAGGGGTCCCGAGCAGAGCTAGTCCCGGGGGCCAGGAGGCGGCCCCGCTGCACCCCTGCCCCCGGCTCTGCCCCTGCCCCTGCCCCTCGCCGCCCGGTCCTCCCCGACTCTTGGAACCAGGGAAGGAGGCAGGGCGCCTTCCGGCACCACCCCACCAGCCAGCCGCCTTTTCGGGGGACATCTGTGGGGTGCGTGACACCGTCCTAGCCAGGCTCTCCCCACCCCACCCCCCACGTCGGCTGCCCCTCCCCCGTCCTTTTGTGCCGGGAACGGGAATGGCCACTGCCTAAGGAAAGAAAAGTATTTGTTTTCGTTTCGTTCGTCTGAGGGAAGTTGACAGAAGGTCAGAAGTTCAAATGCTGCCAGCGCGCGCGGCGGCGACAGTGGCCGGCGCGGGGCCGCTCGGCCGTGGGTGCCCGGCGGGCGACCGGAACAGGGGCCGGCCGGGGGCTCCGCGGGGGCGCCAGGCCCCAGGGCCCCCGGGAGCGCGGCGGAGCTCCCGACCGTCCGGCCCGTCGGAGCCTCGCCGCCACCCCGGCCCCCGCCCCGCGCCCCGCGCCCCAGCCCCGGCCTTGGGGACCGCTAACCCGGGAGGAAGGGGCGTCAGGTGCGGCCGCCGGGGGGCGCGGCTCCGCGCGCTCGCGCACCTGCGACCTGTGACCTGCGGCGGGGCCCCGGGGGATCCCTCTCCCGCCTGGGCCCCGCTCGGCGGCAAGGGGCGCACGCCCACCTCGCGGGCTGCGGGACCTCCGCCGCCCTCCCCGTCCCCCTCCGCGCCCCACCGCCGGCCCGGCCTCGCCTCCCGCCTCCCCGGTTCCGAGGGACTCCGGGAAGGCCACCTCCCTCCCGCGGGGGAGCCAGGTGACCCAGGTCAGAGGGCTCCCCGCGGCCGGCCGCGCCCCCGGCGCCCCGCGGCCTGTGCCCGGTTCATTGTGGCTCTCGCCGCTCTCCGGCACAGGCGCGCGCGTCCACACTCGCGGTCCAGATTTAAGGTGGTCGCGAGCAGATGCGCGAGCGGGGCATGGAGACCCCGTCCCCGGCTCCCTCGGGCCCCTCCCGGCAGCTCCCCTCCCTCCTCCCTGCGGCCTCGCCGCTGGGACCGCGCTGGGGAGCGAGCGGCCCGGAGGGGGCTCCCCTCCGCGCGCCCGCCTCGGTCCCCGCGCCCCGCCGCCGCGGCTCCGCCAGCTGCGGTGCGCTCCTAGCCCGAAAGGTAGGACTTGGATATTTTAATAGGGCAATAAAAAGGATGTTGACCTATATTTGCCAGGAAATCCATTTCTAGCTTCAGTTATACGGGCATGGAGTTTGAGAAAGTCTAGGGCTGGCGGAGAGGTTGGGAGCCCGAAGTCTCAGGCAGAGGTGGGGAGGGAGGGGGCTACGTGTTTGGCTTCGGTTTTGCGTCGTCCTAGCCCCCTCCCGCTAACAGCTCGCCGCGGCTCCGGGTCCCGTGCCAGCAGGTTGACCGTAGTGATGCAATGCCAGGAAGTTCTAAGTCCCTCCCCCTCAAGGACCGCGGGCTCGGGCTCGGGAGAATGGAAGCGCATCCTTAAAGAAATATCAATACATTCACACTCTGATGGGCACCACTGCCCGGGGTCGAATGGCAGCGGAGCTGTGCTGTACACTGGGGGCCAGGTGGCGCCTCGGGAGCCCCAGCCTTTTGTCAGCGCGGCCTCGGGCTCTCCCCATTGAGCGTCTTTGGGGGGGGGCAGAGGGGTGGGGGTCGCGGTGGTAGAGAAAAGCACAGTGGACAGGGAAAAACGTGTCCGCTCCCCTAACGCTAATGCTCTAGGCTGCATTTGTACAGTGACCTGGAAGCTACTTTATGCGTATGGGGGGGATTTCTGTCCCTCTCCCACCATGTCCATTCCCAACTCCGGAGGGGCGGATACCCCCAGAGTGAAGGTCTCCCCAAGTTACAAGGCAGAGCCCAGGCAGGATGGGAAGGCCATCCTGGCAGGACAGAGCAAACAAGGGCCATCGGTGGACCACATCTGCCATCCTGACCCCCACCCCCACCCTAAACTTCTCCGGCTGGACCCCTGGCCTCCATTCCCTTCTGAGAAGAGGAAGGGATGTCGGCAGGCAGGTGGGTGGGGAGGGAGAGGGTGAAGTCGCCTTGCTATCTGCCTGAAGAGCAAACAGACTGGGTCTGGAGCGGCTGGTTACACACAACCCCCGTGAAAGCAGTACATTCCACGCCGCGGCGCTGGGTTTCTACCTGAGTCATCAGCCGGTCTGCTCCCGTGTTTTCTTCATCCTTAAATATGATGTCGGGGTTGTAATTGGGGGTGAGTTCCTTAAATCGCTCCGAGTTTCTCGAGATCTTCCCTTCGTATCTTCCACTGGCCCCTAGGGTCTTCTCCGCCACGTTGGGGATAAACTGCTTGTAGGCTAAAGGGGTCAGCTTTTTGGGGTGCCGCCTCTTCCCAAATCCCCTGCCGGGTCCGCACGCCAGCCCTGAGCACATCAGCAGTGCGCAGACGAGCACCGCCAGCATACATCTCGCCAGCAGCAGCATCTCGTCCGCGGAGCCCAGTGCCTTGCCTTCCACGCCGTCCCCGCGCGGGTCTGTGTGCGCGAGTGCGAGTATGTGTGCCTGTGCGCTCGGGCTTGCGCTCTCCCTTCCTCGCTCGGCTTGCTGCTGGCTCCCTCGCTCTCTGCCTGGCTCTTTCTCTTCCTATATAACCTCGCCCGCCGCTGCTGCGGGAGAGTGGCCACCGATCCCCACCCAGACGGGGGCTGGAGTGGCAGGCTGCTGGCCGCTGATAACGGAACACATCGGAGTTAGGGCTGGAAACAGCAATCAAAAGACAAAAAGAGTCTGATTTTAAATGGTAGCAAGCCTGGAGAGCTTGCGAGACAGGCTGCCCTCGGTGCTATATTATAGCTGGCAGGGGCGTATCTGATTGGCCAAAGCAGCGCAAGCTTGTCTTCTGATGTTTAACCCTAAAAAAGACTAAATTTTTTTTTTCTGTGGCTGCAGTTGCTTTATTTTCACCTGAAGCCTTTGAGTTAAAAAAAAAAAAAATCTTTCCTGAGACAAAGGTGGGCGGGAGGGAGGAGGCACGCTCCTTAGGATAACACTAGTTACCTCCTGCTTTGTGCACAGCGCGGTGTTCCCCCTTCTCTTTCTCCAGAATGGTAGGTGCTTCAGTTAAAACCAACTTAAGTTTTAAAGGACAGTCTAGACCCCCCCCCCAAGCTTCAGTCATCAAACAAATATTCTCTCAAATGTTTGAGGGGCAAAGCTGCCTGGGTCCTGTTTAAAAAATTTTTTTTTTTGGCCAAGTCTCCCTGCATTTTAAAGACAGAGGGTCTGCACCTCATCCTGAATATTCAACATCCTTGGACCGTGGTCATTCTCACTGACCACAACTTCCAGCATGGCTATTTGAAGTGCTTTAGGTGCCTTAGACAAATATGAAAATGCCGCTCCTTTATTGTGTTTCAGCTAAGTCGTTATTTTTAACCCCCTGGAAATGGGATGCAGGCAGGCTCGGGGGCTGGTACAGAGTGGCCTGAGGGACTGTCCAGAAGGCTGGGCCAAGTGCATCTGGGTGTTGCACCCCAGCTCAGAGGAGGGAGCCGGTGCTAGGGCCTGCGTGCTGGGCGGAGGCCCATTGTGCCTGGGGGCAGTGGCGAGTGGGCAAGGCTGTGCACACACCACCCCCACTGATCAATCGATCCGAGCAAAGTGCAGGCCAGGGATGAGCTTGATGTGGAATTCAGGCTCCTTCCACATCGGCCGGCCGTGGGCTTTCCATGGGGCTCTGTGAGCCAGCCCTCAGGGTCCTGCCCCCCCCCCCCCCCGTAGCTTACCATGGGGAAGGGGCCTGGGGGCGCATTTTTAGGTCAAGGAGGACACAGTCCTCAGAGCCGGTAATACTGGAGTCCCCAGTCCCTGTGCTTCTTTCAGGAAAAAAAAAAAACACCCTAGAAGTGCTATTTAAACCAGAAAAATAAAACCTGAAACCCCCCATTTTGCAGAACACAGCCTCCTCTTCTCATTCCCCACCCCCATCTCACTCATATATAGGAATTGCTCTAGAAAAAGAGCAAGAGAGGGAGGGCTCTTCCTGGAGAATGGGGGTGTTGGTCCTGGAGTGTCACTCTGTGAAGTTAGAACTGTCCCTGGACCCCAGCCCAGCCGGGGAGGTGGGAGAGGCCAGGTCTAAGAAGAAGGCTGGGCCCTCAAAACAATGGGATGTCCGGAGCAGCCCAGGCCAACCTCGGTGCAGATGGATCTGGGTAGGGGGGTGGGCAGGGGAGCACCTTGACAGCCATCCAACTGGGCCTTGAAACGGCTGAGTGGATATGGGGGCTCTGCCAGTCAGGTCCCCAGCGGTCCCCCCCAGGCTTGGCCCCCAACCCCCATCATGAACATTCTCTGGAGAACGCCCACGCCTGGGCAAGGTGGGGAGGCAGCACCCAGTTTTATCAAGGCCTACGGATGAAGGAGGGTCTCCATGCAGCTGATAAAGGGCCAGACTTCTTGCCCAGGCTGTGTGTGTCTGTGCGTCTGTGCTCCCAGTGGACAGATTCAGAGAGGACACTCAGGTCTTGGGCTGCCACTGGGTGGTGCAGCCTTGTGAAGCTGCCCAGCCCTGGGGACTGAGGGCTCTCCAGCCTTCTGGGCTCCTTCCCCCACACCCTTGCTGGGTCCCCTCCTCTCCCCCTTCTCTTCCCTCTGTCCTCTCCCTCACCAACCAGACAGAGGTGAAAGAGCCCCAGCACTGGGTCATGACCTCGTGCCCGGGGGCCTGTGACCCCATGTGGAGCCCAGGGCAGCTGGGTGGTGTGTGCCCAGGACACATGATTCCCAAAGGTGTGGGTATCCAGGCCCCACACTCACCGTTGTGCCCTGCATGACCCTGGAGACCCCCAGCCCAAGCCTGAGCCTGAGCCACAGGGAGCAGGCTGCGGGCTGCCTCTGGGCCAGGAGCAGGAAGGGCTCATGCCTAGACACTGCATTCCTCAGGGCGACCAGGGGGTCCCAGGCCTGCTGGCCTCCTGCCCCCAAGATGCCCCTCCATCTCACTGCCAGCCCAGGATACCCCAGATGCCGCCAGGGGCTACCTGCCCTAGGACTGGCCTGTCCTCAGGAATGAAGTGACGGTGGATGGTCAAACCACCATCGACACCCTATTTCCCAGCGTGGGCTCCCTGCTGTGGGTTGGGGGGAAATCTGGACAAAACTCAACCGTAGTGTATCTGTATTGCTTCAGAAGCAAGGGCACCGGCGAGCCCCCCACTTCCCCTTCCGATCATCCGCCCCCTCCCCACTTCTAGACACCAGACACCGCTGTCTTCCACCTCCAGACACCAGATGGCTCCCTCTCTTTGCCTTTCCCCTCCAGACGATTGGGGGGCCCCTCCCCACGGAGGTCAGAGGTTCCAAACCCCAGCCTCGGCCTGACCTGGCCAGACCTCCGGCACCAGCCAGGGACCCATTTCTCACTGTGGGCGCCGAGGGTCACCGGCCACCATCCCTCCCCCACGCCACCCACCCGGCACCTTGCCCCTCCCTCCTCTCCTCCCCTCCCCCTACCCCCGCCATCCCTCCAGCCCTCACCAGCATCCCCGCTGCGGACAGGTGGCTGCCTGTCTTCTGCCCCCACCCCCCAGGCGCCTCCTGGGCCTGCCCCCGCCTCCCAACCGGCCCCCGCCACTAGATGGCCTCCTCACTCTGCCTTCAGGCTGCGGCTCGGCCAGTTTGGGAAATCCTGCAGACCAGACTGAGGCCCCCTCCCCCTCCCGGCCCCCTCCCCAGGGCTGTGACCCCTCGTTTCCCTCTGCTCACATCAGTCCCCACTAGGCCTCATGGCTGGAGCTCTGCCCCCCACCCCAGGAAGCTGTCGCCTGCCTCGCTTCTCCCCATGGGGGGTACTCCTGAGACCTGAGTTAGGGCTGCAGGCTCACACTTCCTCCCAGCCCTTCCCTTCCCTTGCTCTTCCCGGGAGGACTTCTACTCCATCTCGCCTCCCTCCAATTGGGTCTCACTTTGGCAACCTGAAGTACTGTGGCTGCAGCCGGGACCCCTGAGTTTTCGAGGGATGTGGCCCTCCAGAACTGTTCTCCCAACCCCATGGCCCTTTGCTCCATCCCTGGACTCAAGGGATCTGAGTCTCCCGCTTCCTGCTTCCCCAGCAGGAAGGGCCCCGCTGTCCCTTTATGAGTAGAGTCCACCTGCAGGTGAATACAGGCCACAGCGCCGCTGCCTGCTCCGAGGCCACCCAACAGGGGTCCGCTCAGTGGCTGGCCTCCCTGCATCTGTGTCCCCATCACCCAGGCCAGCAGGGGGGAGGAGGCCACTCCGACCTGTAAGGCCCGTGATTCCTGGCCCTGGGTGGGGGGCCCTGGCGTCCCCTGGGCTCCCAGCACTTTCTGCAGCAGGAGCACAGATGATGTCCCAGGGCCCCTTCCGTCCCTACATGATCCCAGTCCTTCCCTTGTCAGTTTGGCTCAGCAAGCCGTGGCAGGCCGGTGTGCCCAGGGTGCTGCCCTCCCCGAGGGGGTGTCCTTGTGTCCCGGAGTGGGGACCTTCCTGTTGATCTGTCCCTGTCACACAGACCCCCCGGGAGGCAAAGAGCATGCCCCTTCCCCAGGACTTGCCCAGCCCGTATGGCACTCGCTCACACAGCACACAGTGACCTGGGGGCTTGGTGCAGGAGGACGCTGACATGCTGGGAGACCACCCAGCCAGCTGCTGAGATGGAAGGCCAAGTCTTGACCAGTGGACTTACTAAGGCAGACACACTCAGCCTGAAATGCCTCCTTTCTGAAGTGCAAGCTCCTCTCTCCAGACCAGCCTTCCCTCTGGGGGGGTCGCTTACCTTCATTCTGAGCAGGGGGTGCTTCTCCGCAGGTCTAAACAATGCCTAGGGGTGTGGCCCTTCCAGCTTCAGGGTGGTTTCACCAGGGAGCCACAGACCTCCTGTGTGAGTGGGACCAGAGGTGCCCAGAAGTGAAGGGTCCCTCCCTGGCCTGGACCTGGTGGTTCTGACCCCATCTCTAGTACACTGTCCCTTGTCCCCGAGCTGGTCATTCCTCAGATCTCTGGACCTTGTTAGGTCACAGATGCCCTTGGAAACGCCGATGCGGTGAACCCCCGCAGCAAGCTAGGCTTGCCTTGGAAATTTAGTCGACAAGAGACAAATCCAGTGAGCACTGCCTGGCCGCCCCTGCACAGTCCAGAGTTCCTGCTCTGCTGACTTCCCTGCTGGGGATCCCGGGAACCCCTGGAGGTAAGAGCCAGGGGAGAGGCCCTGACATGGTGGGTCCTCATCCTTGGGACACTGCTGTTCTCCTGGGGTGTCTTCCATGGCTGCCCCCGTCCTGTGTTGGCAGTACCTGGCGGGCAGCTACAGAGTATCATATGCCAGGGGCTGACGAGTAGCATGTGTGTGAGCTTCTGATCCTTTCTAGAGAGTGGGTGTAGGGATGGTGAGGAGTGAGTGTGTACGTGTGAGTGTGAGAGTGTGCATGTGCATGAGTGTGTCTGTGGAGAGATGGTGTGAGTGTGCACATGTGGGTGTGCATGGGTGAGAGACAATGTGTGTAGGCCTGAGTGTGTACATGTGAGAAACAATGTGAGTGCATGCGATTGTGCATGTGTGAGACTGAGTGTGTACATGTGAGAGTATGCATGGGTGAGATGACA